GGATGGATACCCACCGAGTCTGACTGAACCCATGGCAGTCACTTGAGGGAAGCCTCATTGCTACTATGGAACACACTGTGGTCTCGGCCAGGACGTACCATCATCATCGGCCGCATCCTCCCGTGCCGTCGCGATTGACTCTAGGCCGTCCAAGATGAGTACAGCGGGAAGCTTGAGCCTGGCCGCATCGAACTGCCGTTGCAAGTTACGCTCAGTCGAGCCGAGGTACTTCCCAAAGATGCCAGACACGTCCACCTGAGGTCCACGTATATCCGGGAAGGGACCGCCAAATGAAGAGGACGCCTACCCGCACGATAGATACCCTCGAGGGCATGAAGTCAGCCAGAACGGAGTCTATTAGGGTACTCTTACCACTGCCACTGATACCATGGACCAACACCCTCGCACTGGGGCGTAAGCCCATGCGCCTATAAAGATTAGGGTAGAGGAAGGGTAAGACCACGGCCTCCTTGAGAAGCTGGCGTTCCTCTTCCAAACCGTAGCAGGGCACAGAAGCCGCCGCGCTAGTGCTGACACTAGACTCTTCTGAGGCTGGGGAGCAGTCGATCCGATCGGCCTTGTCGAATTTGGACAACCAAGCTCCAGCGACAGTCGCGAGGTTCCCTCTAGCCACCACTAGCAGGGAAATCCGCAATCGTTGACAGGCTTCCCATAAGCCCTCACAGACCTCGGCATTGGCAGGAGTGTGGGAAACGTCGAGGAGAGTTACCGCCTTTGGGCCGAGGTTTTCCAACAGGTTATGGAGGCTGCGACGGTCTGGACGGAAAGTTAGCAGCTCGAAAGCACTGAGCTCGAGGGAGTCGGCGAATCGAAGGTCGTCGGGGCAGTTGTAATAGAGGCAACTTCTGGTAGGTGGTGACGGGGTGACACTGTGACTTTGAGGTAGAGCGAAGCCATCGAATAAGGCCTCATTATGTCCAGACCCATCCAGCGTGAATTCAACGTCTTTGGCGAGTAGATTTAGGCATACTAGATGCCCCTGTACTAGGGAGGGCCAGGCCCTCAGTTGACGCTCGGCAGCACTCCGGAGGACTTCTGGGTTGAGACACATTGATTGGAGCACATCGGGCCAGTGGGCACGACGAGGAAGGCTGAGCCTCCACGACGAGGGGGAAGGTTCCTGTCCACCTAAGGAGAGAAAGCTAATGAGTGATATTCTCTGCCGATTGTGATGTTACTTAGATGGGTGACCGTCACTTCTGATCCCAGCTGTCGTCGGGCCCAGGTGGGCAACTCTATCCGGCCAGCCTCGACCTTGCGGGACCGCAGAGACCAGAGACAGATCTGAGATAACCGTACCCAAACATGAAGACGCTGGCTAGACACCACATACCTTATGGCCACTCCTACTGCTCTCTACGAGGACCATCCTCGCGTCGGGCAGGTCAACCGGGGACAACAAGCAGGAGTGCCGAGGCCATGCTTCCCGTGCCACCGTCACGGCCGTCAGAGTCACCGAAGCGGCGGCCATAGAAA